AAAACAGAAAGGGATGACAACGTTCCTGGGGAAACGCAAGTTTGGTTTTCTAAGCACTTAACCCCTTGACAATATTCGAGTTCATAATAATTAATCTGTACTCAAACGCTTCATTCGATTCAATTGATATATTGGGAAGTTGAATAAAACGTTGAGTGTGATTGTGGAGGAACTATATTTCAACTCGATAAAATAAAGACGAAGTTCACAATGTTGTGTGTTTTGGGGGAAATCTTTCTGTGATAGTGGCATTGGTCTCCTTTTTCAATTTCCAACCGTTATACGCTGGAATGTTATAAGTTGAGTTCATATGTCAAGACAAAATTTTCAACTCAATGAAAAAAAAGACAAAGTATAAAATGTGCACTGGATGATATTTTTTCTAGGACAGTGGCATTGGTCTTCATGCATTTTTTCGACTTCCATCTGTCATGAGGAATTGCTGTCTTTTTCTACGATGGAACTATATATATGATATGATACTGTCAAGGTATCTGTCAAGAAAAAGACAAATTTTCAACTCCATTAAAAAACGAAGTTCATAATGTTGTTTGTTTTCGGGGAAATCTTTCTGGGATAGTGGCATTTGTCTCCTTTTTTCAATTTTCAACGCTTATATATATAAAGTTGAGCGTTCTCCCGTGTGTCAAGGGACTATATATCACATAGCACATATAACAACTGTCAAGACAAATCTAGTGTCAAGATAGTAAAGATATTGATATTACTTTAATGTCCAGTTTGAATACAAAGACCATTTCTCTATAAGATATAGTACAATAGATATAAAACTTGAATAGTGACCACATTACATTTAGTCCGAGAACAAGTCTGAGCTGTCAATAGTGCCCTAGTCTGATTGACATGCGGAAGCTGTGGATTACTAAAGTCATTGCTGATCTGAAGAAATTCTTTAAAATTGCGTTCAAAGAGACGTTACTTATACTTTTTGGTCACAATGCAAACATTTTTCAACAATGATCGATGCGGTTATTTCATTTGATAAGTTGAATATTCTAAGTAACCATGAAATCGAGGTGTAAGTTAGGGCACAAAACAATTACTCAGGTTAAAATATCAAACATAAAAATCAAAACCCGCATTTCGGTAAAATCAGATAGGGAATTTAAGAATTCTACAGAAATATAAATCGATACCCTATGTACAACATCAGTTCGGTAGAATTTTTTATATAAAAAAAACAAGTTATATATGTGTATACAAATGAATATCTTAATTTCAAATCTTTGAATATAACGCACTGAGGCTGTTAGTGGACTCGATTGTTCCTTAGGTCATTCCTTGATTATCATCCGGTGAAAAGTCCAGAGAAATCTACCAATTGGATTATAATTTCCGATTCACCGACAGAACGGAAGTTCTTTGTCAATCACCTTTCTTTGACTATACCCAAGTGACCGTTACCCGGACTATGACCACATATGGTCTTATAATATATGCTCTATTAACTTCGCTAATGTTATATAAAAATACTGATAAAAGAATGAAGTATCTTAGGTCCTCAGTGAATCCAGCTAAAAATAGATTCAACTTCTCACCTTACTCTAGAAATCCTTGACGAGATTTCAGAGTTTCAATAGTATCTCATCAATAAGTCATTCTCGTACTCTCTGACCTGAATAATATACCATAATGTCATTACAAGATGGCAGATAACCCACAAAACCAGAAATTATATTCTTCTTCTCTGTACTTGTTCTAAGCTAATATAATAAACGCCAATTACGTTACAGATACGTTGAAGTGCTGGAGCTTAATAATCAGTAAATATACCTACTATAATAATAATGACAGGAAAAAACCTTTTACTCTCTGACTACATTGAGCTTTGAATCGAATTTTCACTCTCAATAGTTATCCATATTACAAAGTGTAACATAATTTTGGGAATATAATTCTAGATATAGCTATCCATGTTACAAAGTGTAACATAATTTTGGGAATATAATACTAGATATAGCTATTCATATGCACCTAAAGTAACATAAGTTTGGGGATATTTAACCCAAATGTAACATAATTTTGGGAATATAATACTAAATAGAGCTATCCATGTTACACAGTGTAACATAATTTTGGGAATATAATACTAAATATAGCTATCCATGTTACAAAGCGTAACATAATTTTTGGAATATAATACTAAATATAGTTATCCATGTTACAAAGCGTAACATAATTTTGGGAATATAATACTAAATATAGCTATCCATGTTACACAGTGTAACATAATTTTGGAAATATAATACTAGATATATCTATTCATACGCACCTAAAGTAACATAATTTGGGGGATATGTAACCCAAATAGTTATCCATATTACAAAGTGTAACATAATTTTGGAAATATAATACTAAATATAGCTATCCATGTAACACAGTGTAACATAATTTTTGGAATATAATACTAAATATAGCTATCCATGTTACAAAGTGTAACATAATTTTGGTAATATAATACTACATTTATAGCTATCCATGTTACAAAGTGTAACATAATTTTGGGAATATAATACTAAATATAGCTATCCATGTTACAAAGTGCAACATAATTTTGGGAATATAATACTCAATATAGCTATCTATGTTACAAAGTGTAACATAATTTTGGGAATATAATACTAAATTTAGCTATCCATGTTACACGGTGTAACATAATTTTGGGAATATAATACTAAATATAGTTATCCATATTACAAAGTGTAACATAATTTTGGGAATATAATACTAAATATAGCTATCCATATGCACCAAACTGTAACAAAATTTTAGGAATATAATACTAAATATAGCTATCCATGTTACAAACCAATATAGTTTTAAATCCATTTTTGATAGATTAACATGGTTTACTAGGAATTTAATATTGGACAATAGTGTTAAAATTATCAGAAAATTAGTTAGAGGTGTATGGAGTAACGCTCCAGTGACCTTTAAAAAGCATAGATCCTGACCTTGTAAGAGAAACTGAATGGTTCCCCATGGTCCATCCGTGGTGCCAAGATCGAAAATTCAAAACTGCGATACATGTATATTTGGCAGAGTAAGCTGTTTCAGACTTACACATTATGTACACTAACATCGACGAACATAAAGAATTAGGACTAAAAAACACCAAAACCAGGTGGAAATTAAATGCATTCTAAGCTGCCAGTTAATAGCATTTCTATATAAACATCTTTAAAATCATTTAGGTTCTGTCAAACATAGAAGTGAAGTGTTCAACATTTTATCGTTTAATCTAACAAGATGTAGCCGTGTTATTCTTAATAGGAAGGTCATTTTTAACAGAAATCTTCTCTTCAAATATATTCATATTCATAATATATGGTTATAATGCATATCTTAAAGGGAATGTAAAGAGGTTATCTAAATTTTTTTATGTTTTTTGGGTATATTTATAGCAATAATTTGCACCATTCCAGTTTTCAATCAGACGTGGAATTGCACAGACGTCTGACTGAAATTGATGCTATCAGTGTTCACATACATCATTAAGAATATATCTTTACAATTTTGATCTGATTGCAATTTATATTTTTATTAAGAATTCATGCTAACCAACATTGCCACAAAAGTTGGAAGACATTTTATAAAAATGATATTCCACAGTTTCTCTTATGACGTGGACATAGCTCCTATTGAATAGAGCGTTTGATTGGTCAAATATATTAATGATCGTAGTACATACTAATGTGTAACAAACTGCTAGGACCACAAGTGGATTCACTCATAGAAAAATCACAAAACAAAGCTTCTAGATAAAGTCTTTGAATGGCATTTAGCAATTGTGAGTACGATATATAGACACAGCTTTAAAGCTGTGTCTATATAAAGCTTCTAGATGAGCTAACGAGCTCATTGAAATATTCTAAAAAAAATGGTAAAAATAAAAATACTATACGCTTTTGGTAGTGAAATATGTAACAAGGTAATAGTAGGGCAAAAAAGTCAACTTCTTTTATCTAAGATAGGTCATCTCAATTATTTCTCTTGGTAGCAAGTGTGAAGGTTAACAAATAATTAGAGTGTGTCACTATGAATTAAAAATTTTTTTTATTTTCAACGTCCAATTTAAATTTGTCAATAAGCTCTTTGTTAAGTGTGATTTCTTTTTTTTATTTAAGCCCATTATAAAAAAGGCAGTGTAGGTATCTTGTGAAGTAGGGCATGTCCAATCCTTTGGAACACCAATAGATGTTTCTATATAACTGAGTTTGTCAACTCGACATCTCTTATCATTTAAATTATATTTCCGTTCAATAACCTCCCATTAACAAAATATTTTCAACTCAATTTATTTCAACCAATTTCTTCAGACGTATCCCACTTTGGTTCTTTTATCTCACCTATTTCTACGACGATTTTTTTTTCTCATTTGTCTGAAAATTTTTCGTCATGTATTGTCATCTAAGAAGTTTTCTAAAGTAGTCGTGTTCTTATAACGTTATTTTTAACCAATCAATATAGGACTTGTTTCTTGCTAACTATGACGAACTATGGGAAAGCGAAAACCAGAGTAGAGCAATATGACAGTTTCGAAATCTCACAATTTGTCATTGATATGTGGTTCTACATTTTACACCTTTATTGGCTATAATAACGTCATTAGAACGAGGCTGCTGTAGAAAACACGTTAGATTACAATGGAGACGACTTTGAAATCTAATTTAAATAAGGTTGAGAAAAATCTAATGATGACCCTTTAAAACTGGGATTTAGACCTGAAATGGAATTAAGAAGCGAATGATTAGGAACAAGGATGTCTATAATCTATATTATGTTTGATAACTGACAGTCAAATAAGCCGAAAGCCACGTTACCCATACCCTCGGGCTGTCTATGATCTTTAGTGTACAGAATCTAATGAACCAAATGAAGACTAATCCGAAGGAAGTAGATCATCATGTCCCTAATGATAAAATCCTATAAGGATTCTTACTTTTTCTTTGTGAAAAACTAACTCAATGAGTATAACATTAGTTCGTGATATTACCAGATGATAATACAGAATCTTTCAAATTTCTACCTCGGTGACACTTGGTCAATGCAGGTCGAGGAAATTTCACTTTGTATGACACTATATTTCGTATGATAAACGTCATACAAACTATATTTCGTATGATAAAAGTCATTAAAACTACATTTCGTATGATAAGAGTCATAGAAAATACATTTCGTGTGATAAAAGTCATAGGCACTACATTTCGTATGATAAAAGTCATAGAACTATATTGCTTAGGATAAAAGTCATACAAACTACATTTCGTATGATTAGAGTCATAGAAAATACATTTCGTGTGATAAAAGTCATAGAAAATACATTTCGTATGATAAAAGTCATACAAACTACATTTCGTATGATAAAAGTCATTAAAAGTCATAGGCACTACATTTCGTATGATAAAAGTCATAGAAATTATATTTCGTATGATAAAAGTCATAGAAACTACATTTCATATGATAAAAGTCATAGAAACGATAAAAGTCATAGAAAATACATTTCGTATGATAAAAGTCATAGAAACTATATTTCGTGTGATAAAAGTCATAGGCACTACATTTCGTATGATAAAAGTCATAGGCACTACATTTCGTATGATAAGAGTCATAGAAATTATATCTCGTATGATAAAAGTCATAGAAACGATAAAAGTCATAGAAAATACATTTCGTATAATAAAAGTCATAGAAATTATATCTCGTATGATAAAAGTCATAGAAACTATATTTCGTACATAGGCATAAGTCTGTCATAAAGTATATGAGAGGTTTCTCCAAAGAATATTTTGGGACAAAAACGTATAAAAATATTATGTTTACATTTGTAAGAAATCAAGTCGGGTACATTTGGAGATGCAAACCAATTTTATAGACCCCAACTTCTCTCTCTCTGTGAAGAACCTATATCTCAAGAAAAACCAATCGAGCCAATTCAAAGCAAATCTTCTTCTCATGTCCAGAAATTGATGAGTTATATTGACACTTCCTCGTTGGTTTTCGTGTACTGTGGCTTTTGATATCTCAAATTATTTTTACTAAGACGAAGATTTGTAAATCTCTTTTAAGATCATTCGAATCGTGACTATAGTTCAGTGTTCAATCAAATAGCGATGGCTTAAGTGACATATCGTAATTATTAAACGCTAGTCTTTTAATCTGTTCATGCTATACCATAATCAATCAAGGAATGTTTGAGTGTTTAACAGAGCTTATAATGTATTAGATCCTTAAGTCTATTTCCTGATATGTTCTGATTTGTCAAGTAAGAGTTAAGTAGTTTGATACAGTGGGCATGTTTGATACATTACTCAAATATTAATAGCTACAAGGACTGACTGTATGAAATAAAACTCTGTCTGGTTAAATGCAATCGCACGATGACATTTTCGTGAGTATCTACTTAAAAAAGCACATATCGATATCGAAAGACAATTCGAGACTTTACTTAGTGTTAGGGTCATGGATTTTTGTCTAAATGCCAGAAGATTTTGTACAGTGAACAAAGAAAGTGCTTTTTTGGTTTCGATTTCCGCGAAGCATGCATTCTATGCATACAGATCACATAAGCCTATGAATCCAGTAAAGTAAATGCTACATAGTTATCCATACGCCTTTACCTGTAATTGTTTGGGAGGACGGAGAACTTTAAAGGATATTATTTGTTAGCCCGATTTTGTCTTCCATAATGCAAGAATTGTCATTGACTCGTCCCCCGTTTTTACCTCTGTCCTAAAACATAATAATATGACCCTCTGTTACCATTTCAAGACCCTGGCTTTCACAAATAATTATTGTCGAATGCTTCACGCACGGGATTACAAGAAACGTACAAGCATTGAATTGTATTTACAATATGTAGCGTAAGGTTTATAGTATGCATATAGTTATAAGAAGTCGAGATGGTCTGACCTGATATGATATGATAACATTATGCGATCTATTCAATCTATTCCACATACACACCAATCCATTACATGTAGAACTCGTGTACTTTTATAACTAAATGTCTTTAATGTCAACAGTTTTCATTCGGTGTCCTTAGTTTTAATGTTAAAATGTAAAAATTAGTTCAATTTCAGATCAGAACAGAAGAAAGATACCCAGCTGTTAAACCATAATGAGATTCCAGTTCACTTATATTGGTAAGCCCTAATATAACATTTGTTTACATATGCTGTAACAACAGTTCAATTGTCTGGTTGAACTATGCTGTAACAACTATGCTGTAACAACAGTTCAATTGTCTGGTTGAACTATGCTGTAACACCAGTTCAATTGTCTGTTTGAACTATGCTGCAACACCAGTTCAATTGTCTGGTTGAACTATGCTGTAACAACAGTTCAATTGTCTGGTTGAACTATGCTGTAACAACTATGCTGTAACAACAGTTCAATTGTCTGGTTGAACTATGCTGTAACAACAGTTCAATTGTCTGTTTGAACTATGCTGCAACACCAGTTCAATTGTCTGGTTGAACTATGTTGTAACAACAGTTCAATTGTCTGGTTGAACTATGCTGTCTGGTTGAAATATGCTGTAACACCAGTTCAATTGTCTGGTTGAACTATGCTGTAACACCAGTTCAATTGTCTGGTTGAACTATGCTGCAACACCAGTTCAATTGTCTGGTTGAACTATGCTGCAACACCAGTTCAATTGTCTGGTTGAACTTTGCTGTAATAACAGTTCAATTGTCTGGTTGAACTATGCTGTAACACCAGTTCAATTGTCTGGTTGAACTATGCTGTAACACCAGTTCAATTGTCTGGTTGAACTATGCTGTAACACCAGTTCAATTGTCTGGTTGAACTATGCTGTAACACCAGTTCAATTGTCTGGTTGAACTATGCTGTAACACCAGTTCAATTGTCCGGTTGAACTATGCTGTAACACCAGTTCAATTGTCTGGTTGAACTATGCTGTAACACCAGTTCAATTGTCTGGTTGAACTATGCTGTAACACCAGTTCAATTGTCTGGTTGAACTATGCTGTAATAACAGTTCAATTGTCTGGTTGAACTATGCTGTAATAACAGTTCAATTGTCTGGTTGAACTATGATGTAACAACAGTTCAATTGTCATTTGAACTATGCTGCAACACCAGTTCATTTTTCTTGATGAACCATATTGCGGCACAAGTTCAATGGTCTTGTTGAACCACGATGTAACATTACTTAAATTAGCATCAATTGTTTTGAAGAACCATTAAGTATCATGACTGTGATTGACTTAACGAACCATATTGTAGAATAATTATTGTCCAGCTGATACAACATCCGTTTAAATGTTTTGTTGCACCATAAGGTATCAGATTATTTGTCTTGTTGAACCATACTGTAACTCTAAGCCTAATTCGTTTGTCTTGTTGAACCTTACTGTAACTGTAAGCTCAATTCAATTGTCTTGTTGAACCATACTGTAACTGTAAGCTCAATTCAATTGTCTTGTTGAACCATACTGTAACTGTAAGCCTAGTTTAATGGTCTTGTTGAGCCATACTATAACTTTAAGCCTAGTTTATTTGTCTTGTTGAACCTTACTGTAACTGTAAGCCTGGTTTGATGGTCTTGTTGAGCCATACTATAACTGTAAGCCTAGTTTAATGGTCTTGTTGAGCCATACTATAACTTTAAGCCTAGTTTATTTGTCTTGTTGAACCTTACTGTAACTGTAAGCCTGGTTTAATGGTCTTGTTGAGCCATACCGTAACTGTAAGCCTAATTTAATTGTAATGTTGAACCTTACTGTAACTACTGTAACTGTAAGCCTAATTCAATTGTATTGTTGAACCTTACTGTAAATGTAAGCCCAGTTCAATTGCCTTGTTGAAATATACTGTAACTGTAAGCCTAATTCAATTGTATTGTTGAACCTTACTGTAACTGTAAGCCCAGTTCAACTGTCTGGTTGAACCATGATGTATAGCAGGCATTCTTTAGCATAGTTAGTAAGCAGTCTTTCTTTGACAGCAATCATTCATTAGCAGAGTAACTTAGTAACCACTATTTAGCATAGACATTTGGTAACAATGTATAGGCAAAGCCTATTAGCAACAGTCCTTTATGTTAGGTTACAGGGAAGTAAAGTACATACGAACCAATAGCTTTCACATACTAATTGGTGTTAAAGTGATACTACGTCTTAGAATGAACATAGAATTTAATTCTCAAGATTGGTCAATATGAGTATATATTCATCAGTGAACTTACCTGGTGTCATAAAGTTACAACAGAATTCCTGTAAAATCTAGAAAATTGGAAAATTCATAAACCAAGTAATTATTGAAAAACGCTTAATCATATTATTAAGTGTTTTTCAATAGATAATTGCATTTTTATTAAGATTTTTGGATTTATCGCATTATATAAGGATCCTGTTATGTTATTTATGACACCAGGTATATCTACTGATGGACATATGCTCTTATTGGCCGAGTTTAAAATTTTTAAATTTTATGTTTATTCTAAGACGTAGTATCCCTTTAAAAACATTATGTGACGGCTAACCTAGATATTCGTCCACGTGATTCCATTCTACCTCGTTCAACCATTGGCATTGTGTGATATATATTCGTGTATATGCAATGAGCAATTTTCATTATGTATGGTTTCAAATAATTAATATACTGCTATATAGCATAATACAAAATATTTCCCTGTTAAAATAGTGCTGGCTATATCAATTATAGAACGATATTACGGTGGTTTGTTTAGGACATTTTTATTTTTTATTATTTATGATTTAACTCTACTTTTGTTCAATGAATTATCATTTGTGTTTACTCTTTCTGTTTTTTTGTTTGTTTGCTGAATTATGATTTAATTCTAGTAATTTTTCATTTTTGTTTTAACGATATAGATAATTAAGGTTAAAGCAGAGCTTGAAGCAGAGCTTGAAGCAGAGCCTGTTTTATTTTAATATTTCTAATGATTTTAATATATTATAATATTATATAAATTTAGAACTTATGTTTTTTAACACTTTGCTATTTTTCTGAACCTAAACCGTTTATTACTGTTAATTCTTGAATTTTGTCAATTCAATAACAACCTCAAGAAACATTGTCCAGTTGGCAGGTGTTGACCACAACATAAAGCAATTCTTTATTAACATAAAAAAGCTAGATCAGCAGTTGCCATTCAATTGCATATCGCTAAGATGAACTGTTCAGGATATATACAATGCAACTTGAGCGTCTTGTAGCGTCTTGTAGCGTCTTGAAGTAGCCTTGTTTGAAATCGAGCTAGTTCATTTCCAGAAACCTGATCTCTTCGTTCATATTAAGGCATTTTTTTTAAAATTGCTATAATTAATTTGCCATACATTTGGATCGTGACTCGGTTATCACAAAGAAAATCAATACCGTCTACACATAATTGAGACTGGACTGATAAAGGCTTCTAATCTGCTCTCCAATAAATCTGATTTGAAGTATCCACAATCTCTTTACCAATACCAGCCTAGGGGCTCTGTTCATTATCCTGCTAACCTAATAGCCTAGCTAGCATATAGAATATCCCAACTTTATAAGCTACTGATGGGTAGGTATCTCTGATGCAGAGAGTTAACTGTGCCGAAAAGACGATAATGAGCAATATTGTAAACTGTTTCGTAAGAAATTTGGTTGGTCAAATAGTAATCTTGTTCTAAGTAATTGGTCACAAAGCGAATTGGTGGCCGTAATTCGGTCACAAGATAATTTAATGCTATGTGGCGAAATTACCGATCAAAAAGACGCTTTCTCG